TGTTATCAACATTATCCTGTTGCCCATCTGTTTTTGTTTTACTCTGTCGCCTCCTACGCCACCAACGGCATGATATGGGGTAGTGGATATTCATACGCCGCCACTACAAAGCGAAAAAATTATAAGTACAACTGCACATAGTGAGCAAACACTAAATGAGTGCCCAACTGACTTACCCAACGCGGCAGAACCGTTTTAGGGATCTGCATTCTTAAAATATTTGTCGTCAATGAATGCAATCAAAAGTATTTGGCAAATCCAAAAGTGCCTTATGAGCGTTTCATTTAATTTTGATGAAAAAAATAAATTGTATTCCTGACTTTTAGACTTATTTACGTGTTTTAAATTTAGCGCTTTATTATTTTAACAGGTAGTGTACCCTAAAGTACCTACAGTAAAAAAATTATTATATTTATAAAAATAGATTAATTAAGTACACTAAGTATAAAATCGATATAGGGTGTATGGTAGTTTTGTCCTTTGTCTAAAAAGGGCCAAAAGATATATGAAAGCGCCTTTATATTTTTAATAGCCAAAAAAACTTATAAAAGTTAAATATCATTTTAGTAACAAACTACGCGTGCTAGGCTATTGATATGAAATAGGAAACCAGTTGATGTAATTCTGAAAGTAATAAAAAAAAACGGTCTCGATATGTCAATTTTTTCGGGTTTTATCGTGACCACATACAAAATCAACATCCGGATTAATTAGTTTTCTTGATATATGAATTATGATAAAAGCATTTTAAGAATACAAAATTGCTTGACCTTTACGTGTCGAGAGTAAAGCACTACCTAATGACGCTTCGCGTTATGAGGCGTGCAATATAAAGTTATTACCTATTACTCTATAATGAAATTCGTAGCGTAGGATAGCAAAGTACTCGTTATAAAACAGTTCAACGATCTATTGTTATCATCATCTCTGAATGCAGGTTGCACGAAAGTTGAAATCGTGTCAAGATCGCAAACTTGAGATTAACTAGCAAGGTAAACATATCGTGAGATCGTTTGCTTATCCAAACGTTGAACCTGTAACTGTTCAGTAAGCTATTCGATCGATAACGATAACGTGATAATAAAACGCATCATAAAATAGCAAGATAAGTGTTATTCTTGTATTCCCGTTAACATAATTCTCTGTTATGATATTAGTAGTCTATTGAAACGTAATAACAATTGCTAAGGATAATCTTTGAAAATATAATGCACCAAAGTTTCTCTAATGGATCGATGACCGTGGCGATCGTTCACCCTGGACGTGACGTCCGTTTTTTTCTTAAAAAAAATAAATGTAAACTCTAGAGGCCTGGAGATTTATCAGCTTCATTGCCCTCTCATGACTCAACTGACTGTATGTTATCGGAAGCGGAATCAAAACGGTACCTGATAGAAAAGATCTGCAATTTCTTCCACAAAGGTTTACCAAAAATTAATGTATGTCATCATTTATTTTTAATACATGATAAATCTAGTTTGTTTTAAAATCACACATTGTATTTAACTTAACAACTCACAATTTGTAAGTAAACAGTCTAATTGAATACGTAGAACCAGCAACAGTTCTATCTTAATTAACAATTAATAAGTATCATTTCGATCATCATTTATGAAATTTGTTATACTGAAAGTTAAAATAAAATATTGATTCAATGATTACCAAAAACACTTTAGTAGTAGTAGTAGTTTACACTTACATCCAAGAACAAATGACACAAAACTTGAGAGAAAGAATGGATTCATTTGTTAACAAGATGATGTAGCTAATCAACGGAAAAAGTTTTAAAGTTCACTTTCAGATGAATTATTAATTACTACGCAAACAAACGTATTATTAACTGTAGTGACTAGTTTTGTTTTTATTGAAATAATTGAATATCGAAAAGAATATATTACACTATTTATGGTTAAAAATAAAACCTATTTACTAGAGTAAAAATGTTGGAGCCATACAAACTCATCATAGGGTATGCTATATCCCACACGATGCTTTCATTAGTATATTCTTGCTTATTGCTTTATTCATCAGTTCAATCTCATTATTTCTTTAGAATATCGAATGTTTAGCAGCAATAGATGATAGATGAAAGCAGCAAGAGCAAGAAAAATAGTTTTAGTAAGGAATGGCGGCTCGGCAGGTACAAAAAGGTCTTTGTGTGGAATAGTATCAGACGTAAATAAACGGGTTACTGGAGCAGATTGTGAAGAGATGGAAGTGAACTGATGTTTATCAAAATTAAATCTCGCAACTAGTGAACAAAGCTATTATTAACGAAGTGAATGCATTATAGCTACCACCTGTTTAACTTTTATATATTTTTTTATTTTAAATTATTACCTATCACCCTTTCACTTAAGGCTGTGAAGCATTACATCTTAGTTCTTAAGGTGACAACGCATATGTAGCTTACTTTGTTTTAAATTAGCTGCAGGTGACAATGGATTAAAGTTGTCACTTACCATCAAGTGGTCTGAAATTTCGTTTGACGTTTTTAATGAAAAATATTTAATTTTTCTTTAAAGAATAAGGTTGACAAACGACCACGCAGATGAAGTCTATGACCCATAGACATTTACATCCGTCATCGATAAAACAATCAAAATGCAGATGCGTTGTCACCTCTGAGGATTAAGATGGAATGCCTCGTTTTAGCTATTTATATTATCATTTCATTTACAAAGGTTATACCTTTGTAAAAGTTATCAAAGCCACGTGGTGGTGGCATAAAATACTCTAATGGACCACTTCATCCCGGGCACATAGCAAAAGGTCACTAAGAGAAATGCCAAGATGTGATAAAATCTGTCAGATGGCTGTATAATCTAGTATTTATAACAGATATACAATATTCAGACCGACCGGCGACGGGCAAATGTCAAAGGTGCAAGACGCCTGGTAGCCTGGTACTAGAATCGCTTATTCACCTGACAGTTGGATCGGATCGGATTTTCCATTTATGGAAAAACCTTACTACGGAAAATCCGATATCCATCAGTACGGGCTGAAGAAAAAGGAGATATATTTAATATCCTATTACTGTATGTACAATTATGTTGTGGATTATTATTAGACAAAAGCTCTATTCTATTTTTCTAAAAATCATGGTTGTTATATTGAAACTATTTCTAGCGTAGCACAGGATGGATAGAAACAAGACTGGTTATTTGATTAAGTTTTCTGTGGGTTTTTCTACATATGGGGAACGTGGGTTTATTTTTACTGTTTAATATATGCTAACATTTTTCCTATCTTGAAAAACCTAGAGATAATTTATCAAATAACCAGACTTGTTTCAATCCACCCCGCGGTTTCTATTCACCCCGGTATACATATAATTATAAATTAATATCATAACAGCCCAATAAGCTACTGATGAAAAAAAACCTTTCCCGAACATACCATACCCAGCTTAAAATACTAGATTTCAATTAGAACATTTTAGCTTTTTCTTTTAAATCACAGAATGATCTTCCCTCTATGGTCTCGAAGTAATTCAAGTTATTTAAAGCAAACGTCACCAAACGCTTTTAAGTAGACCGGTAAAATATATATGACGGTATAATACATAAGACACGTTATTTCTTGAGCTACATGTCTTAGGAATGGTAAAGTTCATTGGCGCGTCCCAACGGAGCGTTGACAAAGAGATTCTCACACCACTGATGAACAAGACTGTGAAGCGGCGGCGACCTCGAGACTTTTCTCAGCATTGTGCTCGTGCTAATGACGTCTCGGGCACATTAGCGCTTTCGATGGTTCCATAAATTTTTACATGTTTATAAAGAACGCCGTCGAACGTTCGTCTGGTTTTACAAGCGATATTTACGTCGCGCGTCTCAAAGCGTAGATACAATTTAAGGGGATTCTTCCTCCGCGTTTTTCGTTAGGCGTTCATACGCTGCGTTGATGATTATACGCGTGATAAGAGTCATTTGATTTTTTTAAATAATAAAAGTAAGTGAATGCTGCTATGGCATATCCTCGATTAAGAATTATAGTGTAGATGCATTGTTACCCCCGAGGACTAAGATGGAATGGCTCGTTTCCCGTAAAATGGTGCCTGATTCTCTGCAGTCACCATATCATTAGACCAGACATCACCGCGTGTCAATTTTTGTTCTGAACTGCCGGTCTAGTAGTATACATAGAAATCTTTGTATACATTTTTGTATAGATAGAAGATTTTATATAAATTTTTGTATAAATAGGCAAATGTTTGATATAACCCGTATATCGAACGACCGAAAAAAGTGACGAAAGACATAGTATACACTTTTTTTTTAATTTAAACATAATTTGTGAATACAACATCATTTAAAAGAACCTTCCCACCGCTCCTATGTCGAGCTTAGCCTTAGCGTGATGTTAATCAATCATTGTAATTGTTTGTTTCAGACAGTGCCGCTGCCAGCCGGCTCCACTTCAGTACTGGCGAAACCGACGAAATATCACTATTACCCACACAATCAGCACATTTATTTGCTGCCGGAATGTGCTATACAGCAGGTAAATTTAAATATTACCACATTTTTATTAAGTCACTTTCTTGTTTGTTGGTCTTTCTATAGTTCCGGGTGAAATTAAATAATTGCTTTCAAGCTTACTTTCCAATGAGCTAGTAATTTGAAATTTTGAATATAGCTCAAATTCGGATGACAATGCAAGAAAAAACATGGTAGGTATATTAAAAGATTATAACATAAAATTTTTAAAAATTACACCTGTTTTTACTATTATAGTTAGTTATACAGTAAAGTGTTGAAACCATCATTAGAAATAGAAAAATTTTGTACCTAGTCTAGTATCTAGGTGTTAGTGCTGTTAGTCTATGCGACTCTTACAGCTTCATCTGTCTCAGGGGATTAAAAAAGGGAATGGCAATGAGGTGAGGATGATGATGAAATGGTTTATGATTTAATATTCTTACCAATCATCATGTCGCCTTTTTAGGCGTTTTTTTTTTGAGCTATCTAACCGCAGTCCGAGGGGGGGAGTGCGGACCCCCGTCTGACTGCTCAGCTTGTGTCGGTCGATTTTGTACTTTAAGCAACTATGGAAAGTACCCGAAAGCTAGAAAGAGATGACATCTGCAAAAAAGCCATAGGAGCTTTCTAGCAACGTCTGTCAACTATCTCTTTTCGTTAGGCGTAAAATGCCTTGATCGCCGAGATGGCGAGCGGTATCATAGGTGCGAAAGGATCGGTAATCCGCCAACCACGAGTGACGTGATGTGATAAGGTAATTTCTCCCTACAACAGGAGGTCCATATACAGCAGTAGACGGAAGATAGAATAATGGTAAAGAGGAAGAAAACTTAAAGATATAGTACTAGGTTAAGATAAAGACAGAATCCAAAACTTTTACTATCTATTTGCTTATTCCGGCTCAATAGAGACGGTTTATTTTGGAGCCTAACGAATCTAAATATTTTTACCGACTTCAAAAAGGAGGAGGTATTCAATTCGACTGTTTTTTTTAATATGTTATACCTCATAATTTTTCTCTGGGTGAATCGATATTGATGATTTTTTTTTTCTGAAAGCTGGTGCTTCTCGTGTCCCATATAAATGTAATCAAAACCTGACCAGTAGTTTCTGAGTTGCCTTTAATAATGCGTATTTAATTAAATTTTAATTGACTTTTTTAAGTGGTAGAGCCATGCTGCAGCTGTATTGTGGTTACAGCACGAATGTGTCTGCTCGACCGGGGTAGGACCATGGACCATTTATCTCCCGTTACTCTCACAGAATACCAGCGTGAAATATCACCTTAATGCTGCTTGCTGTGTTTCGTATGGTGAGTGTAGAGAACCGGAGACCCTTTTTACTGGAAACGAGGCATTCCATCTTAGTCCTCACGGGTGACAACGTATCTGTATTTTGATTCTTAATTGAAGATAAATGTAGATGTCTATGGGCCACAGCATCCACTTACCATCAGGTGAACTGTGTGCTCGATTGCCACCGTTATTCTAATTTAAAAACACTTCGAATACATTGATTCGGTCGTATTGAAGTTGGTTGTACCAAATTTTTAAATTGACCACTTGTCACGTCCATTCGGGATTCATTTCGTATACAAGCTACGCATATATCATCCTAACCATTACAGCATACGTATATCTGCTAAGAAATGCCACACAGCATGGTCCTTAGCCACCTGCGACCTTCAAATTCCTGCATCTCTTACCAGGTCATCACTCCACCGAATGGGAATCAGATACGAGGGCGCACTCAAAAACATTTCTTTCCTAATAAGTTTCCTGTTCTCTATGCTTCATGGTCGGTTCATTGACACTTCAGCTTACTGGTTCTAATGCGGATATCCTCATTGCGAACTCGCTTATATTGTACATACATAGATATAATAATTAAATACATATTTACATGTGTAGTAGTACTCTATTAATTTAGAAATGTTTTAATAACTTATAGTGTATCTCCTGAAACACAGTTTTACACTAATTTGGGAGCCTATGGATTCAATAAAACATTTATTGTAATTTTTTTAAATCAAAATAAAGTTTTTCAATAGAATTGAACGAATTATACATGTGAATCAAAGTACGATAATCACTCCACTCTGAACAATGCACAAACAATTAATCTTTTCCAATCGCAGTAGGTCACGTGCCGCTTTACCATATATGTTACAAGTTCAGGGGATTAATTAACCTCAATTAGTTTCTCAAGAGGGAAACGAAAAAAATGTTTTAAAATGGTTTGTCATATGTTTATTATACGAGTAATTATACATTCAAAAATATAACTTGTAAATCAGTAAAATTATTTATATCATTGATTAAAACTACTTTTACGGATTTTACCGTGTTAATTATTTGGTTTTTAACCCCCGTGTTCGCGTACATATAAGAAATCATTATTTATATAATGTTATTTGTTTCACTCATTTATTATAAGTTATTAAAAGCCCACAGTTGAACATAAGCCTCCCCCATAGATTGTCTCAAAGGAATCCCCCCTATTATATACACTAGCTGGGCCAGGCAGACGTTGTTCTGCCCTTTCTGTCTGGAGACGCGATGGGTTTCATTTCCAGACAAACTATTCTATTGATTTATTATACGTATAGCTAAATTCTCATTAGAACTAATAGAACCATCAGCAGGCATAATGACAATAAAACTTAATAAATAAATAAACAAATAACTCCTTTTTTACCCTTCCTTAAGCGGATAAAAAAATGCCTACATGTTATACACGCTCAGGTACTGTCCACATACGAAGTTTCGTAGAAATTCGTCTAGTAGTTTTTTCGTGAATCGAGAACACACAATTTTTCTACAGATTTATTATATGTATACCACAAATGACTGATGATGATGACGACTGCCTCATTGGTCTAGTGGTTGTAGTAGTACGACGTTCACCCGTACGTCCAAAAAAAAAAACTAATTATTGAGTTTTTCCGTCAAGAAATTCTCAATAGCTGGCCGGAGTCAGGAAGTTGGCGGTGTCTCACCCCCGTGCCTCGGAAAGCACGTAAAGCCGTTGGTCCTGCGCCTCATCTCTCTCCGGTCGTATCGGTTTAACGTCCTATCGGATTATGAGGGTGATGGAATAGAGAGTGCACCTGTGCTTGCGCATACACTTGGGCACTATAAACCAGTCCTGCGCCTATGGGTAGCCTCCTCTGAGGCAAGCCGCCGTGGCAGAAATTCGGTCTGGAGGACATTATTATTATTGGGGGGTATCAATATAGTTTTTCATTTTTTACATTATTATTATTATTATTATAAGTGTATTCTCATCTGGGTGGGCTGACTAAATATATAAAAGGAAATGATATAGTTATTATTATGTGGGGGTATCAATATAGTTTTCTCATCTGGTTGGGTTCTATAAATATATAATTATAAATGGAAATGAAAAGATAAATATACATAAATAACAATAACATAAAATAAATATAAAAATACATATATAAATAAAAGCCCAACCAGATGGAGGCCCTCGGCAGGGGAGACCAAACGGCCGAGGGTTAGGGGGAAAGGGAAAGAAATCGGTGGACGATGCGGGCGGTATCGAGGAGCACCGCCTTCTGCATTTGAGCCTGGAGCGGTCCGCCACGTAGTCCCAGCCGCCTCAGATGACCCGAGAGGCTGACTAGGATTAGCCCGTTTGCAGAGACGACTACAGGAATAATTTCGGTCGGCAGACCACCCCACATGTCGGCCACCTCGTGAGCCAGGACCAGATATTTTGTTTGCTTATCTGTTTCGGCTTTCACGAGGTTCTCGTCACACGGAATGGTAATGTCGACCAAAAATACCCTTGACTGTGCCCGGTCCATCAGCACAATATCTGGCTTATTTGCAAGAATAGTCCTGGTCTGTGATGATGGCCCGGTCCCAATAGAGCCTGGCGCGATCATTTTCGAGCACGGCTTCCGGCAAGTACTTGTAATACGGCAATTTCCGATCCACGAAACCGTATTTCAGAGCGAGCTCCTGGTGTAGAATTCTGGCTACTAGGTTATTATTATTATTATTATTACCACACATGAAAGGCGAGTTGTCAACTGCAGTTTTTTTTAATTATTTTGACTTGTTATCAGGAATATGCTGCTGTCCATGTTTCTCCTGTTTCATTTTTCTCCGTGACCTCTTAAGACACCATGACCCATAAGGTGATATGGATTAGTGGATTTGATTACGGCGCCGCTACACGGCGATAACAAATTTAATTTACCTAATTTTATGAAGTTTATCTTTGCCTGCTGACGTAACCGAATCCGTTCAGCGTTTTGGTCAAAACTTTAGATTAAATCATTTCCAATTTCTAACAGTTAATAAGTTAATCTACTGTTACTTTTATGTCTTTTATAAGATAATTAGAGGAGAGATTGGAAAACAATGTTAATTTTCATCTATTTAGTGGTACTTTGATTGAGCGGTTTGACTTTGTAGTGTTAAATTAGTGATTATTTTGTGAACGAATTTTCAGGTGTGTAACGCAGTGTACGTGCGTCTGAATTATACGCAGCCGCTGTGTGCGTGCCCGGCTCGTTACCGAGACCCGTGCTCCGCCAGCTTAAACGCCGACGACCTGCATACCACTCGCCTCACCACGGATTCCAAAAAGAAGGTAAGCACCGGACAAGCTAGATAAATAATCCGCTGCAATCGTTACCGTTAGCGATTTAAATTGCTTCAAATATAAGGCGCGGACTATTCGTTTATCTCCCGTTACTGTAATTCCACAATTTTCTTCGTGCTGCTTAGTGCATACGGTGACAAATATATATGTATATATATATATATATATATATATATATATACATACAAATAAATATATATTTGTCAATACATACAAACTCGTAAGAACTGCCAGGGGAAATACAAAACAGCCTATAATAAATGCTATAAGAGACGAGAATGGATGTATTCTGAATGATGAAGTTTCGAATTTAAACAGATGGAAAGAATACTTTGAAAGCGTGTTTATGAGTGAAGAGTCGTATGAATTAAATGAACTAGAAATTCCGAAAGAAGTGGAAAGGGGTATGGAGATAAGTGTAGATGAAATAATGAAAGCAATGAAAAGCATGAAAGCAGGTAAGGCAGCTGGATATGATAGAGTATCACTCGAGATGCTAAGGGCTGGAGAGGGAGTGGTGGCAGGCCTGCTGTACACCTTGTTTAATTTATGTTGGGAATTAAAACGGGTACCGGATGACTGGTGTAAAGCAGTTATAGTACCAATATATAAAGGAAAAGGGTCACAGCAGGACTGCAAAAACTACCGCGGTATCAGCTTGCTTAGTATTGTGGGTAAACTGTATGCTAAGGTGTTAATTGAAAGAGTTATGAAAGAAACTGATGGAAAAATTTGGGATGTGCAAGCGGGTTTTAGAAAGGGAATGGGGTGTACAGATCAAGTCTTTTCCATGCGCATGATTGCGGAGAAGTTTTTGGCCAAAAACCAGAAAGTTTTTTGTGCGTTCATGGACTTGGAAAAGGCTTATGACAGAGTGGACAGGAATGTGTTATGGCAAACACTGAACTCATATGGGTTGAGCGCTGGTTTGATACAGGCATTAAGGTCTCTTTATAGGGACTCTAGTGCTTGTGTCAGGATCAATGGGGTCTACTCGGACTGGTTTGGCATCCAAAAAGGTATCAGACAGGGCTGTGTGGCTTCCCCTTGGCTGTTCAACCTATTTATGGACCGGTGTTTGCAAACTTTGAAAGATGAAGAATGTGGGTTAAGAATGGGCGAGTTAACCGTCAAATGCCTTTTGTATGCCGATGATCAAGTCATACTTGCGTCATCGGCGGCAGAGTTGCAAATGATGGTTACATTAATGAACTGGGAATTAAAAGAAAGGGGAATGAAAGTGAACGCAAGTAAGACGAAAGTGATGGTTTTTGAAAGAGAAGAAAGCAAAACGGTATGTGAAATAAGAATAGAAGGAGAGTTGATTGAGCAAGTGGATGAGTTTGTGTATTTGGGATGTGTATTTAGCAGAGATGGTAGATATGATAGGGATATAGAACGACGAGTAAATGCAGGGAATAGAGTGAATGGGGCACTACACTCTATTATGAAGAAACAGAATTTGTCAAAACAGGCACGTATGGTAATTCATAATGCTGTGTTAGTCCCTACTTTAATGTATGGTAGTGAAAGCTGGGTGTGGCAGAAGAAGCACGAAAGTAAAATAAATGCTGTAGAAATGCGGTCTTTAAGGAATATGCTAGGGTGTAATCTGAATGACAGGGTGAGAAATTGCGTGATAAGAGATAAATGTGGTATGCAAGATGATGTTGTGACCAGGATTAAGAAAGGAATGCTTCGGTGGTTTGGTCACGTAGAAAGAATGAATGAGGAAAGAGTGACAAAGCAAATTTATATGGCAGATGTGAATGGCCGAGTCGGGAAGGGACGCCCTAGGAAAAAGTTTATCGACCAAATTGGCGATATTTTGAAAATGGGCCACGTTAGAAGTACCCTTAACCGACGAGCATGTATGCGTAGATATATGGATGTAAAGGAGGCGAAAGAGGTATGTCAGGATCGTGCCAAATGGAAGTCCGTAGTCTCTGCCTACCCCTCTGGGTGACAGGCGTGAGTGTTTATGTATGTATATGTATGTATATATATATATATATATATATATATATATATATAATGTTATTATATAATTACTTTTAATTTGAACATTCTATTGTAAATATAGAGCAGATGTTTATACAACATAATGTAATTTATAAAAACATACACACATACTTAAACGCTTATTCCTGTCATTCAGAAGGGAAGGCATAGGATAAGGACTTCCATTTGACACGATCACGTCATGTCTCATCTGCTTCTTTCACATCCATATACCCACGCATGTATGCTCGTCTGCATTCTGACTTCCCACTACAAAGAGCCCTGTGTATGTATTTAATTATTTCTGCCTTGAAGACACTCTCATTGCGATCGCATGGAAAGGCAGATGCTGGAATTATTCTACTACTTTGCAGTACGCATTACGAACGACAAAGTAAATTTTTTTCGAGATTTATTGCGTGGTATGTCAACAAAAAAAGGGTGGATGGAGACTGACTGAGCGTCTGGTAGTCTTATGGTGTACACATTTCGAAATACCCTTGGAGTTTTCGAGACTAGGTAGCATTGACTTCAATCAGATTGAAGTCATCAATAAGTCGTGCTAAGTGCCTTTTCATTAAGTCCATAACTGCTGGGTGGCATTTTGCAGCAGACTGTTATATACGGCCGGACTTGCGCTTCATATATTATGTCACAGTAAGATGATTGAAACGGTTATATTGCTATATCCCTAGGGATGTAGCTATATACCGTAATATAGTTATATGATAGCGATTTACTATTTTACTAATCTAGTGAAATAGTTATAATTGTAAACTGAAAGCACACTCGTGTTACACGTGCAGACAAAATGTTTATGTTCTCCAACAAATTTCGCGACATTGACATTGAATCTTCAGTTTTAGTTGTGTTGTTGTTCACGTTCCTTTTTTGACAGTAGGCTGTAGCCTAAAGCCGCGTATATTATAATGATATAAAATATAATATATTTTTTTTATAGAATAGGGTGACAAACGAGCACACAGTCCACCTGATGGTAAGTGGTTGCTGCGGCCCATAGACATCTACATCTATCCTCCATTAAAAATCAAAATGCAGATGCGTTGTCACCCGTGAGGACTGAGATGGAATGCCTCGTTTCCAGTAAAAAGGGTCTCCGGTTCTCTACACTCACCATACGAAATACAGCAGCATTAAGCTACTATTTCACGCTGGTATTCTGTGAGAGCGTGGTCCTTCCCCGGTCAAAGCCGACCCATTCGTCGTGCTACAACTATACTACTAATATAACTGCAGCATGGCTCTACCACGTAAAAATATTGAAAGGATTGAACTTTTTAATTTAAAAAATTCAAAAAGTATTAATCAAAAGTAGTTTTGACTAACATTCTAAGTAAACATATTATGCTTATAATTATTTCCCTAAATTAGTCTAGTAACATAGTTATATTACTAGATCGTGCTCGTACCACAGTCATATCCCGGTACGTATATACGTGTAGCTATATCCCTAGATATATAATTATATAACGATAACTATATAACCATATCAAGGCTTCAACGATCTTATTGCGACATATAAATCAAGCGGCTGTCCTGGCGTGTATATCTTTAAGACATATTAAAATGGTACGCGAATTATCTAAATTTCTCATATATTAATCTGAAAACTTTAGATCACATGTTTTTTTTTTCAGTATGCGAAAAAAGCGGTGACTCTAGTGAAGACATGTGAAGCTGTGTCAGAGATGAGGGAGTGCCGGGCACCCAGGGACTGGTCTTTGCTAGCTCTACAGAACATTAGAACGGGAAAATCACACTATTTAGTCATCTGCCGTTGCCCAGAAACTCATATTTTGGGTGAGTTTATTCAACAATTACAAAATGTAGATTGTTAGATAAAAAAAACCATTAATGATACTTTAAGGGCTTAACCTGCTATGTGACACAAGGTTAACGGAAAACGATATATATATATATATATATATATATATATATATATATATATATATATATATATATATATATATATATATAGTATACCTTTCTGTCTCACATACGGACGTAAAGTTGACGATGAGAAACTATAGTTTTTGACATAATAAGCGAAAAATTACTCAATCGAAGCTAAGGACGTGGAACGGGATTTCAAATTGTGCGATCGTTAATACGCCTATTTAGCGTGCAGATTACAATTTGGTAATTCGTCTCACTGTTGGAAAAGCATTTGACCAGCAGTAAATTGTATTTTTTGTGATGAAAGTGAAAAATACTGCTTTATTAAATTAAATAACGACAATTCTAAGGTCATAATATAGTTTACTAATAACTATAGCGGAAGTTCAAGCGCATTTTACAGTTTGCTTTGCCATGTAGGTACTTATTACACATTTTATATTAGCTTGAACTGTATATATATATATATATATATATATATATATATTGTGGCTGCAGTACGAGTATGAATATGTCGGCTCGATGAGGGAGTGACCTAAGGGAATCTTTATTCTATAAAAAAAATGTAACGACATAAGAGTCGTGGGCCCATATAATTTTCGTGGGACAATCATGCGACTTGATGTGAATGTATTTTGTACTTGTTAAAAATAAATTTGTAGATTTAGATTTAGAGCCAAGCTGCAGTTATACCACGCTCTGAGGGAATTCCAGCGTAAAATAGCAGCTTAATGCTCTTGTGTTTCGTATGGTTAGTGTAGATAAGCGGCGACCCTTATTAATGGATGTGAGGCATTCTTAATTCTCAAGTGTGAAATTGCACCTGCATTTTTTTTCTTAATTGAAGATAGCTGTTGTCTATTTGTCGCAAGCATCTACTTACTATCAGATGAACTGTGTGCTGGTTTGTCACCCTTATCCTATAAAAATGTGAATGTAATGAAATTTTATGATTCGGTTCCAGCAACTTCCAGACGATAGAATTTTCTAAAATATTGCAGACATATTAAGAATAGATGATAATACAATAATTTAACAACTATAAATATAATTTTTGTAATAAACACTGCTCAATAAATATATTTCTGTCGTGCACAGAGGGTCCAATGACACACGATCAACCCACCTACGCTTCTGTTCCCGGAATAAGAGTTTATGGCATGATGTGTGTGCGACCATCTCCGATCTATCAGTCTGGTAAATACAATATTTATTTACTTTAGCTTTAAAATTTGTATGACACGAGAAACCAGATTCCGATCAGAGTTCCGCTGGCGGGACTAAAATGTTTAATCACTACTTTAAGAGCTGTTTTAACACGAGCTCTGCGGTGGAGTTATACGTCACAATGAAACCTTCGCTTTTAAATAAAAAAATATTGCGAGGATATGATGTATAAAATGTGTAACACACGCGTTTGAAGAGCGTGGTACACTTTTTCCGCTCAAAACTACTCCTAGAACTGAGAGCGAGCTTGTGTCCAGCTAAGACGCATAAACAATCTTAGTTAACTTTTTTCATATCTGATACAAATATGATTTGTACGTACTTGTTAGTGGAACAATACACATAAACATGATAGATCACTGACACTTGCTAATTTCACACCAGACTCGAGTTCAATTAACACATAGATATTTGCTAACGACTTTTGACAATTCATTACTTGCGCTCAATGTTGCCTGTATTAATAACAGTAAATATATTTTCAGGTTACAAAGGCAATAGGTATACAAGTTCACAGAGCACCACTAGCGCCTATAAAGTGGACTACTCCCAACCCCATTCGTATCAAGACAAACCAGTCTACAATCGTTATCAGTCCCACAGCTATCTGGACTCGAACTATTACAATAGGAGGTCCAGAGCGGCAAGATTGCGACGAATGGTTCAAGAATACCCTCCCTTCCCATGGTACAAAGTCAAAGAATTAGCCGAATCTTTACATTGGACGAATTAACATAATATTCTCATTTAGGAAAAAGTATGTTGGGTTCAAAGAGGGTGTAATCATCTGCAAGAAATGCCTTTTTGAATTCAACGAAAACTTGGATTGAGTTAAACATGCATTTAATTACGAAACGCTTTTAATTAATAGATAGATAATTCAAACACTTAACGAAACATCACAATCTGGCATTCAGCACATTGCGTGTTTATTGTGCGTAAGAGATTTGTTGCATTTAATAGAATATTTGTGTTTGATTTATTTTAAACCATCTATATGATATTTAACTATTTTAATAATATTGTAATCTGTCTATTTACAGGATACAAAATATTCATAAGACCTATAGTTATATTTATATTTTTGAAGTTTAAGAAAACATTAATGCTTTCTCCATTAATATTGAATATTCAACCTGAAGATGCTAATTACTATAATCGTAGTACTAATAATATGGTAGTTGACATTCACGTGTAGAACGAAATCGAAACTTTTTCTTTACAAATTGTATGGGAATGTCAGTAAATAAGATTTTTGTAGTCAAATAGGTAACATCCCATTTGTTAATTTTAAAATACTCAGAATTAAACCAGTAATGGGAAAACGATCAAGTTATAATACACCACTAAAAACTGTACATGTTATGTGCAATAAAGATTTTTAAACAAATAAATAAGTAAAATAGCAAATTTAAATTATCCTTAATAATGTAGGAGTTTATTAATGATTTGCCTCAGCGACTACGAAGTAGTCGCTGCATTAAGCGTCTTGGACGCAGCTATAACTTGAAGGAGGCAAAATATTCGCAGCTAACAGGCTAAGTTACTCGATGGGCAGCATCGTACCCTTATCAGAAAGCGCAGTGTGACGCGATATCAGATATGCATTATTTTTAATAGATGCAGGTGCCTCACAACCGTGCTTTGTGGCATTCCCTGAGGATTAAAGCACCTGTAATTTATCTGGTATTGTGGATGTTCATGGATGATGATGATCACTTACCATCAAGTGAGTCGTATGCTTGTTTGCTTGCTGTTTTATAAAATAAAAAATGAGCGACTTAGCCACAATTATGCGCCATATAGGCTACGTGTTTAAATTTCGTATTGAACAACTATTTGTATAATCTGCAATTAATTGTTCTAAATAGATTCTGGATTTCGTTTCTCGATATTCGATCGATGTTGATCTGTCGCAGTAAGATGGTTAAAGCCGTGATATAGTTATATCCCTAAAGATATAGCTATATACCGTAATATATTTATATGAAAGTCGTTCATAACTATCTTACTAGGAATATATATACAACATGTAACATAATTAACGCACTTTGAGAAAGTAGTTTGTTCAGAATCGTTTACTGAATCGATTCCTATCATTTTTATACAGGTATTTTTTATCATATTACGTAAATTACAGTCACAATAAATCTGTACAGTCAAAACAAACTGAAATGGACCGTAACTTAAGGCAATAAGACTTTTAAGATTGCAGTTTTATTTGTATTATTACTAATTCTGTCATTCAATAAAAATAAAGAAAAATGAACTATATTTCAAGCACGTTAAAGTCTTTGCGTTCGTGGATTTGTACTGTGACCACAACATTCTTCGGGAATTAGTATAACTAATTTGATATATAATCGGTGCATTAAAATGTTTAACTGAAAATTTAGTGTATGTATTATGATTATAACATAATATACTAATTGGGGTGTCTCAGGGTGTGCGTTAATTACGTTACATATTTTTTTAAATTTAGTAATCTTATTAATTTTATATGGAAGATATTATATTTCTATATATATATATATATATATATATATATATATATATATATATATATATAACTATGATACGACCACGTATTTAATAATATAACTATCTCACTGGAACAATACAGAAAAATAAATATAAGTATAATATGTTGACCAAGAATGTTAGTCAAAACTAATTCCGAATTATACTTTTAAAATTTTTAGTTCAGTTCTTTCAATATTATATTTTATATCATTATAATGTACGCGGCTTTAGGGTGACCCATGGGCCACCTCAGCCGCACCTTAAACTTACTGTCAAAATAAAACATGAACAACAATATAAAAGGAACTGAATATCCAATGTCAACGTCGCGAAATTAGTTGATTTTTTTTAATTTTTTCGACAGCTCTTTTTAAGTTGCCTACAGATTTATCTCTTTGGTCCTAAATATTTTTTCGTTGTTATATTTATTGCACAACAGTTGCGATCAGTAACCTACACCACATGACGTCACTCCACAAATAACATGGACACTTTCTACACGAGTGCGCTCCTGTACATTCAGATTACAATAATTATATTATTAGATTATTTTAGTAAGATAATTAGGAAGTGCTTTCATATAACTATATTACGGTATATATCGGTATCCTTAGGGACATACCACGGCTTCAACCATCTTACTGCGACAGATCAATAGAAGAGAAACTCATAGAGCGTTTTTTAAAAATGATGGGTCAACTACCGAGTGTTTTCCCCACCAACGCGACAGTTACTCAATATGCGAAATTATCACAGGTATAGAAAAATATTAGTATTTTAAATGTAAGTACACAAAGTAATGTGATAAGAGTTCTTAACTATTTGTGTAGTTGGATGCATTTATAACTATTTAATGATTAGTTAATAGAGTTATTTATAACAAAATAATATAAGTAAGAAATGCTGTGTAAATATTATTGATAATTACAATATTTGTAATTACAAAATAAAAATTGCCTGAAAAAAAATTCTCTTTTATTTTAATACCTAACAACGTTAAGATTAAATACAACCAAGATTAAATATACAAATTTCCCTGCAAATATATAACTCAAAAAGTACAGACGTGCACTCAAAAAGTACTTACCTAATACTTTTTGATCTACGACAATGTCGCACGAATACATGGCAGCCATCAATCGCTGAGGTTGGACTTGAAACGCTCTTCTGCATGCTTCTTTTACTGCTGACATTATTTGACCTGCCGATAATAATTCTTCATTTAAATTTATATTGATTTTATTTAAAAATATATCCTACAAATATTAATAACAATGAATTAGTAAGCTGAATTAAATCCGGGTGGACAACCGGGCAACTACCATATAGTTGAAATAGGTTCTCGATGAGTAGTTTCGTACACGTACCGGAAAGCACAGTATGAAGCGATAACAGATATGCACGGTTTATATTTTGAGAAGTGACAAGTGCGAGTGGCAAGCTCAACAGACAAATGACAAGTGCTTAGTGTGTATTTTATTCTCGCTTACAATTTTTCATTGCCTGCTCACACACACGCACCAAGCACTTGTCATTGTCAGTTGCACTTGCCACTCGCACTTGTTACATCTCAAAATGTAAGCTGGTCGGTAGTAGATAAAAACGCCTCACATCAGCAGTGGGCTGTGATGATGATGATACTATAGTTCTGTTAAGAATATGTATGAACTTAAGTTATTTCCAGCTTACCATTAAAATAATAATAGGAAATATTGAATGTAAAAAAGCAAATTTTTATTTTTTTAAAGAAAATTATTTAATTGAGATTAATTTAAATAACTTACTTGAATCAAAAATAAACATAAAATAATCCCCGACGCGCCTGAAAAAGTATAACTAAAAAAATGCAAATGTTTAATAGTGAATTCGCAGTTTTTAAGCATATCCACAACCCCATACCGTCCTATAGCTGTCGTAAGAGGCGGCGAAGAGAAACAAATGCAGCAGTGTCTTGTCTACTAATAAAAAATAACTACAAAATGAAAAACTGTGGTTGTCAGGTTGACAGCTGCGAACTGCTGTAACTATTTATAAACTATATAGCCCCATGAGAGAATCTAACGGGGAGGTATATGTTCAGCAATGGTTTTTGATTGAACAGGAACGGACAATGTTTAATTTAATAGTTACTCAGTACCTGAGAGTGGTCCGAATGTATGCGTAGTATCTTCTACGTAATTCCTTTCTAGTGTCCACTCTTCAACACAGAAAGCGACCCCCATCACAGGTTCCTCACACAATGGACCAGCCAATGTTGCTAACTGGAATCCATTTACGAAACTACTTTCGTATTCGAATCGAGGATCTTCTTTTATCTCTATTTCATGATAGATATATTTAGTTTTATAATCTGTCGTTTGATTGAGAAGCAAATTTGGTCCGCAATTTCTTGGACCCACTGACCATATTTGATCGATGAGACTCTGCCATTCAGGGCTTAGTTTTTCACAAATGGTTTGAAGATCATATTTGAAAATCTCTATGAGTTTTAGCATTCGTTCCGATAGTCTATTTTTGGTTCCATTAAGATGTAATTTATCTAATTGGCTATCAAGATTTTCATTTTTAGATAGTCCATGTAAAGCTTTTATGTGTTGAGAAATAGCTTTAAGTAGATCTGTTGATTTATCTAAAAGTTCTGTTATTTCTTTAGGTATTGGCTTCGCTTTTATTTTAATTTTACTTTGTTTATTGCTAGTATATATAGTTATAACAGGAGCCTGTTGTGCACTTAACCCTTTGTCTATATTTTGGGAATCTATTTCTTCATTTGCCATATCTACTTTCGGTGGGTCTACTATCGTTTCTCTAAACGGTACTATTGGTTCGGATACTGATAATGGTATTTTTGCGTAAATATTCCTAAAATTAATTTAAAGGAAATTAGTTATTATTCTTGTGAAGAAAATCCATTATACTATTTCATCCTGTGGATGCCGTATGGAGCAACTATCGGAAATCCCAGAAAGATTTTCTGGCTTCCGACAGACAGTGGTATAAACTTCTCGATTACTCCAGACATAAAATACCCAGACCAGCGACCGGGAGTAGTGTCGATGGAGGGCGGTGTTTAAAGAAAAACCCTCCACAGTTACAAAAACTTACGTCCAGCAGTGCACTAGTACAAGCCGGATCCGGCACTCGCCTTCAAATGCTCAGTGTGCGAACAACACGTCGGCCCGCGAAAGAATTGCCACACTACTAACGTGT